ATATTTGTATGTATGTATTGTAGAAAATTTTGGGAGAGACCGATGCGGCCAGGCGAATCGGCGTTACTCATCGTTGAGATAGTGTGTACACAAACGTGTAGGATCGTCGACCCTGATGCTGCCATGGCAAACACCATGAGAGAACGGCACCGAAATGCAATTACACAAGGGAATAAGGCCATCGCCCTCGTTGGATTCCACCCCATACAAACGGGCCTCCGATCTGCTATCACCGTTCGCTTTACGGTTCGAATCTTCTCCTAACCCCCACCCCTCCCCCTCAACCTTCCCCCTTCCCTTTTCGTAGTAGTCGTCCTTTGTGAGAGAACGTTCGACCTTCGTGTGCCTGTAAAAAGCCTCCCTCACCCTCTCCTGCTCCTCCACCCTTCCACAAAGACGACGTCGTCGCCATCGTCTTCTTCGAAGGGACGCAGCAGCAGTGAATCCCTTTCTGTCCCTGTCGGATCCTATTGCGTGCCTTTGCACTACTTTCACGAAGAAGAAGAAGAACGCATTAAATACCAACGAAGGGGGAACTACCACCATCATCCTGTTTTTCCCCTCCTTTTCTATCCGTATTTTCCAAGTTTTTCGGTTAATCTTCCAATTGTTGGGTAAGAATGAGAAAAGAGAGAGAGGTAGTGTTGTTTACAGGATAAAACTTTGTTATATTTAGTTAAAGTTTTAAAGTGGATACTATATGTAGAATATTTATGTGATATATTATGTGTATGTGTTTATTATATTTGTGGGTTGGAATTGGAAATGAATTTATTTTAGGTTGTATCTTTTTAAAGTTGATGAGACTATGTGTCATTCTATGTGTTAATTCTATGTTTATATTTTATATATAAATAATATATATTAAAAAATAATATATTTCTAATATAAATAATATAATAATATAATTATAATAATATTATTGTGTATTATTCATAATATAATAATATTATTATATTATATGTAATTATATTTATATTATGAAAGTATTATTTTTTTTGGTACATATATTGCAACTAAATTATGTATAATTTTTATTTTATTTTAAATAAATAATTAACATTAATTAAATTTTCATATTGGAGAGACTAAATAGATATGTATTTGTAATAATTCAAAAGAAAGTTATACGATAAGTAATGAGTGATTAATTAAGTAAAAGGAATATCAAGGAGTCATTAAGAGAGAGAGAGAGAGAGATAGAGAGAGAGAGAGAGATAGAGAGAGAGAGAGAGAGAGAGAGAGAGAGAGAGAGTGAGAAATAGACTGAGATAGAACTAGTACTCTAATTAGAAATTTGTCGTAGCATCTCCAGTAAATCTAATACGTTAGAAGGTGTTGTTGGCTGATGGATGGTAGTAGTAGTCATAGTAGTAGTACTAGTATTAGTAGTGAAGAGTAGAATAAGACGGAATGAGAAAGAGAGAGAGAGAGAGAGATAGAGATAGAGATAGAGATAGAGATAGAGAGAATTAGAGTGAGAGAAACAAGGATAAACGATGCTCGTTTTAGGAGTGTTAGTTCCTTGGCAGTAAGGTTCCAGCAGCTTTCCTCATGTCCCACGTTTCGATCCAACTCCGATCCGTTGGCCCTTGCCTAAACCTAACTCTTAGTTAGATTCCAGTCCAGACAAACAGGCAGGCAGGCCTTGCTGCTGCTGCTTTCCAACAGTTGGCCCGCTTCGCTAAGCGAGCAGCCACCCAAGCAACCGTGTTTGCGCATCCCAGCACAAATCCACGCTCGGGTTTTGGAATTGGGGTGCTTGCGCCCTCGCACCATTGTGCGCGACAACTGCTAAGTGCTGCGGCAATCCGGCATTGGCGCCTCTTACACGGAATTACTGTTAAACGCGAACCACCCCCCACCCATTCTCACCCACCAAATCCGAATCCCAACCCCAAACCTTTCATTCTCGTCTCCTTCAACTCCTACCTTCCTTTCCACAGCCAAACTGATTAGTTCTACGATTTGGTAGGCGGAAGGAATGAAACACACAGACCCACCCACCCTATCTCTACGTATTTGTTTGTGTGTTTGTCTATGTGTGTGTGTTTGTGGGTGAGAGAGAGAGAATATTTCAACGTTTCTTGCTAGTCCTATTCGAAGCTGGTCACGAGCATTCTACCAACACCTCGCACTATTTTGGCTAAGATTCTCCTTTCCATGGACGTGGGTCTTGGAATTTCGAAGGTACCTTTAACTCCAACGAGAGAGGATTTCGGAGAACCCTCTCTACCATCAGCACGAACGTGCTTTTCCCTATACCGATCGGAATAGGAATGCCAACAGGAGACGCGCGCTTAACTTTCCTTACAAAGTTTACCTTGGCCTCGCTCACTCGCTAGCTCGGACTTGTTGGCTAGTCATACAACAACAATTTATGCTTGTCCTTCCTCTACTAGGTAATTCGATAATTTAACCAGGAACATGTAAATTATATCAGAAACTTAATTTTAGTATTAATCGATAAGACGTCGTCTGGTATCGATGGAAGTTATTGTTCTTTTTTTGTTTCAATGTTTCTTGAAATGATTTGTTAGAGTCAGATGTTTGGAGTTTAGGTTAGGAATGGTAGAGAATTAATTGTGGTTTAAGGTGTTAGAAGTTTTTAAAAAAAATATCCTAAAACAAGACGTGGTAATATTTTGGTTAGATTGAGAAAAATTTGGGTATAATGAAAGAACAGAAGGATCAAAACAATGAAGAATGTGAAATTTAAAGAAACAAAAAAATTTGTAAAACAATACGAGATGTGTTATAACATTTGTATAATGTGTTTTTCAAATGACGAAAGATTTGGATATTATATTGATAGAACACAGAGAAGGATCGAAAAGATGAAGATTCCTCCTGTCGTGAATATCTCGAAGGAATACGAGTTCCTCTACGTGGTACTTACGAGGAAAGGTCTCGATCTCAATTATGTATTCATAGCCATAGCAGACGACGGTACGGAATGGGCACCCAGATGGGTTAGAAGGAGTCGACAGAAATGAAGTATCAACCGGAATACTCCTCTCTCACCACTCACGTTCCACATTTCTCCACGTCTTTTGGGTACACCGAGAGTAAGTGCCTTTCCAATATGGGATCTAAAGTGTTTCTCGATATCTTGGAAAATTTTTAGAATAGTAACGTGATATTATTCGTCTTGATTTTATTTCAACCTAACTTCTTCTTATTTTATCATATTTATTATTTCAAATTTATTTGGATTCATATTTTGATCTGTACTTGAAGTGTTCCAATAAAGATCAATAATAAGACTTTTATAAATGTTATAAGAACTTAAGTTATAATATTTTAGTATACTAATATACTCTAATATACTATATTAGTTTATTAATATACTAACATACAATACTAGTATATTATATTATTATATACTATATTAGTATATTAGTATAATAACTAATATACACTAATATAATAGTGTAATACTAATAATATAATAGTGTTAGTAATGTTAGTGTTAGTGTTAGTATATAGTGTAGTACTAATATAATAGTGTACTACTACTACTAATTAGTTACTACTAAGTTACTACTAAGTATTAGTAACTACTAATATAATAGTGTAGTACTAATTCTCTATATAATATATAATATAACACTAATATACTAATATACTAATATACTATATTAGTATATTAATACAATAAGTAACCTAAAAAATATAAATATTATACTAAGTATTATTATTCAATAGGATTCCAAAATTTGTAATATCACACTCAAAGTGTTTCTGGGTTTAATGGTGAAGTTGAGGATGTATTATTTTTGAAATGGAAGTAATAATAAAATGTTTTCTGAATTATTGTATATGAAATTTTCTAAAATGGTTTCTGTATAATATATTATTATAATTTGTATTGAGATCTTAATTAATGTGAACAATGCTAACATTGCACAGCTGCTTTTAACACCTTATTGTGTTTAGTTTATTATATAATAGTTTCATTAAAACCCAAATTATTTGGTTATGGTTGAACATAAATATTTTATTTTCTATCAACTCACATTGTATTTAGTTTTATTTATTAAATAATAATTAAATTGATATTTGAATTCCAATTCATTTGGACAACTTTAATATAGAAGCACAGATTGTTTTGTCATACTTGTTTTGTTAAAATTATGACAGTTTTGATGTGATCCAAACAAAACTAATTTATAAAAAGTTTGAATAGAAATATTATACTTAATCTTAAATGCTTAATGAGTATCTTATAGTATAATATACTTAAAAAAAAATACATAAAATCTAATAAAACTCGAGTGACTTACCATTAGGTGGAAATTCGTAGAAAAATGCTGATCTCGGGCTCAGACAACTGTAAAAATACAAAGAGAAGAAAATATTAAAAAAAAAAAAAAAAAAGATACAAATGAAGAAGAATAAGAAGAAAGAAATGGAAGTGGAAAGTAGATAAAAAAAAAAGTGAGATTCAAGGAGGATATATTTTAATTTAAATAAGGATCCGAGTAAAGTAAGTATCGGATTATATTTTTCATGGTAGAACGAGTCAACGTCATGAACATTCGTTGCAGGAAAGTGAACCCGAACTGAGTTTGAATCGTTGTAGACGTAGAAACGGCACGTATTCGGTATTTCACATTAACGTGATTCTAAGATAATCACGTGCGTTATCCTTAATAAGAAGAACATGAAAAAATGTTACGCACGTTCTTATTTCCTCATTTCAAATTTGAACCCATTTTTGAACCCTTTTTCCAACACGTCATGTAGAAATTTTTATCCTTAAATATGACGTGAATATTACAAATTTATTTATTTATTTATTTATTTATCTATCGAGTACCTAAATTTATTCGTACGAAAATAAATTATTTATTCTCATGCCGATATTTAAATAAAATTCAAATTTTGAACTTTTTTTTAATTTATGTTTTCATATAAACATTATATTTTTATGAATATTTATATTTTCAAAGTTGGTATAAATAGTTCCTTGGAAATATTATATATTGTTTTTGAGTAAGTTTTTTTTTCCGTTTTATAATATTAGATTAGGAGGAAAATGAAATATACCTTTGGTAGGGTTGTGGATGACCAGCTGCTGTCATGACTGTTGCATTTTGTGTTGCTAGTGCGAGTTTTTGTTGACGATGTTGAAGCATTTGTCTACTGAAAACACCATAACCAAACCCATAGATCTCATCTTCTTCTTTATCACTGAGACAGCTCGATGGCTAGAAAATAAAATCAAATAGAACGTGTTGGTTATTTATTTAACTCTTATAAAAGTGTCTTATTAAATATTATAGTATAAACATTTTTGTGTTTAAAATTCATTTTGTTCAATTTGTTTTCAAAAAATAAAAACAAAAGGGAAGATTACCAAGTTATTTTTCTCTTAGAAATAAAAAAGAAAGGAATAAAACAAACGTATTTTTGTTTCTATTTCATAAATGATCTTTTTATAGAAAAATTAAATATGCAAAATTTAAAAAAATATATGTATATAACAAATAAAATAAAATATATATAAAATAAAATATAAACAAGATAAAACATATATAAAAAAAAAAAATAAAAAAAAAATATATATAAAATAAATAAAATAAGAATAAAATAAAATATATAAAATAAAAAATATATATACATACAATAAAATATATGTAAAATAAAATGTATTTATAAAAAAAAAAAAAAAAAATAAATAGAAATAGAAGAGAAGAAAATAAAAAAATAAAAAAAGAAAAACAAACTAAAAAAAGTAAAGCGGAAAAAGCAACGGTACTCGTTTAATCGAGAATGATTTTCTCCAAGGTCCTTTCTTCTTATCGAAGAAGAACGAAGGGAAGTTCCTTATTAATTTTCCACGTCGACGCGTCCACAGGAGGGTTGGTGATGGTGGCAAGTGGGTGGGCAGGGGTTGATGAGAAAAGGAGTAGGGGTGTTTCATTCTCTCTCTTTCTCTCTTTCTCTCTTTCTCTTGAAGGAGCTTGACCTTAATCGGCAATCGATTTCTCGCGATTGGAAACTCGATTAACCGTTGACGGTGTTACCAGTAAAGGTCTCTCGGCTACGAACAATGACCGATTTAAGCTTTAGGATCGATCAATCGATTCTCTAAAGACAGACAGAGACAGAGGGAGAATGGATGGGAGGAGCATGAGGGATGAGGGTGTGGGAAGAAGAGGTTTACACGGTCTGATCGTCTTAAACCACTTTGGAAAATTACTCTCGACGGACACTCGATCCTTAAACCATCGATACATGTTCACTTTGTTTTATGTACGAGAAGTAAAAGACGATCATGATTCTCTTACTTACTATACACCTTCATTCATTACGTTTTATATAAATTACTACAATATATGATTGAAACGAAGATTCTTTAGTTTTTTAAATATTTTTTTTTGTAATATGCTATTTAGTGTAATTGTGACCATAATTACGAAAGTGGGTTAACCTAAGTTGAAATTAAACATAAATGAGTTTATCAGTTATTTTAGACGACATTATTTTAAACTAAATTAATTCTATGTAATGTTTGTTATTTTTCAGAGAGTATATATTGTATAATTATTTTGTAATAAAATATAATTCTAAACATTTTGTAAAAAGTTGTCAAAGATTAACTTAATAAGGATAGTTCAATAGGTTAATTCTTTATATATAAAAATTCAGTGTCACATAGTTGGTTTTCAATGAAGATTACAATAAACTTCGAAATTATAAGTAAATAGGATAATATTTATCGCGATTAGTTTTATTTTTTATTACTAATTTAAGGATTTGTTATTTTGAGGTTATCTAGGTCTTTAGATTCTGTAAATTTGCCATAGATGGCGGCGTATTACAATTTAATTACTTCACGTTTTCTTCGTTTTTGCATATGATACAACTAACCTTGTTAGAGTATTATATTTTATGTATTCCATTCTAATTGTGAATATTAATTCGACTGCATTACATAATTTAGAATTATATTAAATCAATGTTCAATAGATGGCATTGTATTACAATTCTATTTTTTCAGGTTTTTTTTTCAGATTTACATATGACATAACTAACCTAACTTTTTGTATCTTTTCTTGTATTATTATTTTATGTATTCTATTGTAATTGTGGTTGTGTTATAATTTACTAAAAATAGTTTAGAATTATATTAAATCAGCATTTGATAAAAAAGCTACAGCAACACGTGACCGGTGCATCCTAATTAAGTCCATAAATTATAGAAGAATATTATAAACACATAAAATAAAATGATAAAAATCTTTTGAAACATAATTCAGTTTATTTAATAATTTAACATCGGATATATCGTTGATTGTATACAAATTTAAAAATTGGTTTAATGTTGAAGACAAAAATCAGCAAATGATTGGAAACTTGTGACCAATAAAGATAATATATTGAGACCAGAAGAAAAATTGTTGACGAACAAAAGGATGAAAAGTCATATCTAGAAAGATAGAAAGAGAAAGAAAGAAAGAAAGAAAGAAAGGATTTATACTCACAGAGTATTTTCCAGGCACGTAAATGGGCTGTGAATGACTGGTGGTAAGTTGAGTGTTGGGCATTCTGGGGGAAGCATTTGTTTCGCGTCGGCGTAGCTCCTCAAGCGGCTCCAGGACATCTCCGTAATGCGTTCTGAAGAGGTCTGCATACCTTGAAGCTAGTCCCTCCAAGTATCCCCTCTCGCCTTCCTGAAAGAGAAAAGTGCCGTAACGTTAGAGAGGGTTTGTTAAACGTAAACGTAAGAGCTGCCAAGAGTTGAACGAATGAACGAACCAGTGAACGTACGAGTGAACGTACGAGTGAACGTACGAGTGAACATATGAGTAAGCAACATATACACACACACATACACTTACATTTATCATACACGTGTATATTCATTCTCATTTTCTCTTTCTTTTTCTTTCATTCGCACTGATGACAATAAGGGCGTGAAAAAGAGGTGAGAGATAAAAAACAAAAAAACATAAAGAAAATTAAAGAGAGAGAGAGAGTGAGAGAGTGAGAGATATTTAACTGTAAAATCTCAACTCAAAACGTTACTCGACGTTTACCGCATCGAATTAACTCTTTCAAACTTAAGGATAGTCGACGTAGAAAAGATGAAAGGATACAAAAGAGTAGTCGGGGGGAGGGGGTGGAAGGAGGAACATCCTTCTCTCGCGTTATCTTTATATTCTTATTCGAAAAGTTTCTCAACGACGTATTTCAAAGCATCCCGGAAGAAGATTCGAAGAAGTACCGGTGGGAAATGAGAGAAAATATTCAATAAAAATAAACAAAGTAAAAACAATGTTCTCATGACGATAATCTGTGCAAACTGGACGTGAGCTTATTCATGAGGATTTATTTTCAAGTTTTTGTATGTTTCTTTTATCGGATATATTCTTTTGTTTATTGTTTAGAATGTAGTAAATAAATTACGGTATGTATGTGTAAGACAAGAATAAAATGTTTAAAAAGAAATCACAGAGATATATGTACGTTTACTTTTCATAATTTACGTATATAATAATTTCATTATAAATTCGAATTTAATTCGTTAACTCGTTGAGTTTATTCGCGAGGATTTATTTTGATGTTATTTTTTTTTTGCGTGTCCTTTATCTGATTTTTTTTTTTTTTATTACGAAGCAGATAAATATACATGTGTGTATGCAAAGATGAGTAAAATGTTTTAAAAGAAACGAGAAATTTATTACCTTCATATTATAATAATTTAATATGTAGAAAAGGTATTTTTTTATGTTAATTTTTACCTTTCGAGATTACATTAAAAGAAAGTATTTTTTTTTAAAGGATGTATGTGTGTTTGTGTCGTCGATGACGTATCGGACAGAGGCCTTTTTATTTGTCGGTTCTCCATTGATTTTTGTTAATTAACTATTTAACGAAAAGGTTAATAATAAACGTGTTTGTTTAGTAAAAACCAATTGTATATAATATGTTTAATATTTTTCATTAATAAATGATAAATAATTTGATTAATTCAATTTCTATATTTATATAAAAAGAAAAATGCATATCTTCTTCTTAATATATATAAATTACGTGTCACGTTGTTTGTGCGCAATGTACTCCTAAACTACTGAACCGATTTTAATAAAATTTTGCACACTGTGTGCAGTTTCATCCAACTTGAAAGATAGAACAGTTTATTTCTCAATTTATAATCGTAATATTATTTTATTGCGAATTATTTGTTTATTAACAAAGAGTCATGATTATCTCTGTAAGATTCTAACAGATGGCGGTATAAGGTAATTCGTTGACTTAAATGTAATGTGTATCGGACTGATTGTGAGACGGGGCACCCATATAGGAGTATATATTTTATTTATAAGAAACATTTGTAATTTCCTGAGGTAGGAAGAAGTGATCGAAATGAGATATAACCTCGTATTTTTCTATAATTTCAAACGTATCTACTTTCTTCACAAAAACTTACTAGGTCAGTACTATATATTATTATTATTATTTTTATTATTATTATACTATATTGTACTATAATCGAAGATATATTTATAGAACAAAATTTACGAATCGATACCACGATACAAAGTTTCATTATTTGTCTTGTTACAAATTTACAATTTTATTTTATTTTATTTTTATTTTATTTTTGTGTGTGTATACTTTCGTTCCTTTTCTTTCGTCTTTTCTAATTACATCGGAGAAGAAGAAGAAGAAGAAGAAGATGGGGTTTTTAGGAGTTGAATTTTCATTCAGGATTGTGATGGGGAGAAGAAAATAGTAAAAGGGAGAGGGGTGGGGGTGACATGAGGTGCAGGGACTAAGAACAAGTCGTTTTTGTTGAGCATCTTTGTCACCCTCATTCATTCTACCTACCATCGTCTCATTATCGATAATCCTGGAACATTAATTAGAATTCCAATCTTCCGATTTAATACAAACCGAAGCTGCTGTTCGTTGTTTTATGTCTTTTCTCTTTATTTCTCTTTTATCTCTTTCTATCTTATCAATCTTAATGATATTTGTTTTATTTTACGCGATTTTTTTCAACTTTGAATATAAGATACATTGTAACGCGTTTATTTTGTATTTTTTATCGCTWATTGAAGGATTTATTATTTACAGGTTATGTAGGTCTTTAGGTACTGTAAGTTATAAGTAGATGGCATTGTATTATAATTCAATTATTTGGATATATTCACGTTATACATTTAGATGACATAACTAACCTTGTTTTTTATATTTTTTTTTGAGTACTATTAGTTTGTGTGTTGTTGTAATTTACTAAACAGGTTGAAATTTATACTATATATATAATAATTAATTTATAATAATATAAGATGCATATATTATAAGATATATTGAGATCTCTTACACTTGAATACGCTGTCTAGTGGCTAAATTCAAAATTAGAGTAGATAGGTCGAATTGCTACGTCACGTGGGATCTCTAGCACTTGAATACGCTATCTGGTAGCTAAATTCAAAATTAGATTAGATAGGTCGAATTGCTACGCCATGCCCCTGCCAGAGATCCCAATAGATATTTATCTCTCTTGTACATTATCGTTCTAGTATATATACTTGAAACCTCGAGAATTTCGAACCCCACGATGATGGGGGTGCAATCCTCCCCCTTTTTTCATTCGTTTCATCATTTTCTCTCTCAACCCGAAGCTAAAGCTTAACGGTCAAACTGAAAGTTGTTCTAACTTGAGAATGCATAAAGCAAAATGCGAATTTCTCGCGGTTGTAATAGGATTCTTCGTAAAGTGTATATACACGATGGATGGGTTAAGGTCGTAAATTAAAATTTTATCCATGAACGAATAATCGAGTAGACGAACGGACGAACCAACGAACGAACTCTTATTCGTTCGAATACTTGATCGATTCGATTCTGTTATTATCGTTGTTGTTGTTGTTGTTGTTACATAATAGAGTAATATTATATCAGTAAATGGAAATAATTTTATTGTATATTATAATTACAATTTTTTATTTAATTAATTATTTAATTATTATTAAAAAGTTATTCATATTATTGATCGAAAGTTTAAGTATGCATTTATTGTAATATAAATTTGATATTTATTATATATAATTATATAAAATTATAATATAATGATTTCTTCTTTTTTTATTTATTCTTATTATTTATTTTTATTCTATTATTATTTATTTTAGTATTTTTTATTATTCTATTTTTTATTTATTATAATCAAAGATACATGTGTTTCGTTTGATTCAACTTTAAGAAAAAAATCATATGGGGTTAGAGGACTTTATAAAAAAATTTTGTGAGACAATTTATAAAAAAATTGCAATAATTAATTGCACTTATGTAAAAAATTGCGTAAAACAATTTAATAGAAATAAAAAGTGTTTACTTTGATGAGTTAGATGTTTATTAAGATTTGTATTAGCTAATAAATAATTATTAATAATAAATCTTATTAATAATATATAAGATATCTAATTATCATTAGATTTAATATATTAATATAATTAGAATTAATATATGAATCCAATTATAAATCTAAAATTATTCAATTTTATTTCAATCGATAAATAATTTCCCAAAAAAAAAAAGAAAAATACAGAAAAGAAACTTGACATTAAATATTCACAATTATGATAATTCTAGGTGTTAACTTAAAAACCGAGTTACTAGAAAGTTTTCTCAAATATAGTCGAGATGATTGGAAACTAAAAGAGATAAAAGAAAAAAAAAAAAAGAAAAAAAGGAAACAAAACGATGCTTCTTGACTTTTCAATTTTCTTCTATCTCCGTTTTTATCCGATTCTCGGGTACCACCACTCGGCATTGCGATATTCGGAAAACGATCGATCGACAATATTCAAGGCAAGAATCGAGTGGTAGTGTTAAAACGGTTTTGCGGAAAAGTTACGGTACCGGCATCGAGAAACTGCGGAGGGACGGGCCCCGTGTGCTATTCGCATAGCACATCGAAAGTAGTTTCGAAGGGAGTTGGCAAGGTAGGAGAATGGGAAGGGTTGGTGAGTAGAGTAGGGGAACGGGGGAGGGTAGTTATATGTACGTGTTCTGAAGGAATTCAAAGTTCAAGTAGGACTTTTCTTTTCTTTTTTCATCTTCACCCTATACTTTATTTCTTTTCTTTTCTTATTTTTCTTATTTTTATTTTTATTTTCTTTTAAGGAAAGGATCAAGCCTGTTCCTTAAATATCCGACGTTCCGTAAAATGATTTAGGCTCTTTCTCCTCGTCAACGAAGTTTCTCGCGAGTTAAAACCGTCTTTAAATTAAGAGAAAAAAAAAAATAAGAAATAGAAAGAACATTAAGGTAGCGAGAAAGAGAGAGAGAGAGAGGGGGGGGGAGAGAGAGGGAGAGAGATTGAAAGAGATGATGGGAAGAAGTAAACTTCGTTTTGGGATCGAAGGAAATCGTTTGAACCATCCTTCTCTCGACATTTCATTCGAATCTGCTTCATAAAAGACGCAGCTTTAAGGGAATACTCTTCAAAGTATTTCACTTCTTTCCAGGAAAACAAGTTTTACTAATGTAAGAGCCGTGTTTTCCATGCGAAGAAGTAAGTACATCGATAATGAGAGAAAAGAAAGAAAGAACATTTTGAAAAATTCTGAAAAAAAAAAAAAACAGAATGAGATGCGGATAGATATAAAGAGAAGTACTTACTCGTTGATTTCAAGATCTTTACACACTTATAATAATC